TCATGCATGGTCTATATTGTCTCAGGTTTTGGTAAAGTATTAAATGGAAACCAAGCTTCTCTGTTAAAAATTGAAGATGGATTGCCCAGATTTGTGTTTTTGTTTTGTTTTTAGAAATAGTTCTTTGTTTCCCTTCATTGTATGTGGTCATTTTTCCATGTTGGAATTGTGCATCCCAGAAGATTTTGGCTCCTGGAAGTACTCTGAAAATACTGAAATTTGATTTGCCTCTGAAATATTTTTTCTGATATAACTAAAGCCCTGTGGCTACCATTTCCATTTGAGCAAGAAGGCAGAAGAATATTGAAACATACTCTCTATCCCTATTGAAAATTTTTAAACATCAGTGAAGTGGGAATAACAGGCAATTATATTGAACCACTAACACAGTTGAGAAATGGAATTAAAATAAATACATTATCAGCAAGACTGGATTGTGGAGCCCAACAAGTGGCCGGAACCCTTGACCCTTCTGAGATCAGGACCTGAGCTGAGATCAGGAGTCAGACGCTTAACCCACTGAGCCACCCAGGTGCCCCACTCCGTAGACTTTTTATTTCTGTTAGCCCCAGATCTTTCTCTTTATTATAAAGTACTAGTGACATTGTTTCCACTTACAAAGCACTTGGAAAGTTGAAAATATTAGCTCTTGGAATCAGGTAAGAGAAGACCAGGAAATCCTCCTGTCTCATGATTAAAGTTTGCTTATAATTTGGATTAAAGGAAAGTCCCTGGGGGTATGAAGTGTACTCCCACTTTTAACACTCTCCTTACTTCCAGAGAGAAAACGACTGGAAGCCAAGCAACGGGAAGATATCTGGGAAGGCAGAGAGCAGTCTGCGGTTTGAACATTATTCAACGAAGGGGATAGTTCTATGAATTCAGAAAATATTTCCATAGTTTTCAGATAGGAGGATCCTTCTAGAGTTCTGTGTACATGCAGAAGTACGTGTTAATGAAAGAAAGAGAGAAAGCCATCAAGATGGGCACTGACTGGGTACAGAAAGATGGACTCCTGTCCGTCTTCGCTTCTAACTGCAGTTCTTTGGAACTGCCCTACTGTGCTGGGCATAGAAGGGAGCCATCACCCAGGAAGCTGACTTGTGACAGCTTGGATAGGACTTCCGAGAGTCTTCTGCAGGGGGGGTGGGGGGCAAGTCCCATCGTTTGCCTGGCTCACACGTCTAAGATGTCTGAAGAAGATACGAAACAGAGGATTCAAACCTGCAATGATGGGAGATTTCGGCCCTGCAAAGGCAGCGTGTTCCTTCGGACCTCACAGAACTGAGGGCTGGTGGAGCAGCAGTTAGTTCAGAGAGATGGAATAGTGCACAGAATCGACACTGTCACTCGCAGAACTGCAGCACCGGTGAGCTGTGGCCTAGGTGGGTGTTTGGACTGAGCGGGGGCCTGGGGCTGCTCCAGTAGCAGCCAGGGGTCTGCCAGCTTCGGTCCTCACGGGAAGCCAGCCGCGCGTGGAAGCCGAGCGCTGGTTCCAGAGGAACCGTACTGTCATGTTGTGAGAGGGAGACATTAAAGCTCATTTTACGACACACGTCACTCTGCTCTTTGTCAATTTTGTCATCCCCACAAAAGAATTGGAGAACAGCTCTCTTCGAATCCTCATCCCGGTAGTGCTGTGCATGGGTTCAGGGGCCTGCTGGCTCTCTTGAGCCCCACTGAGTAGACTGCTGCTCCCCTCTCTGCCCCAGAGTGTACTACAAAAATATGTCTCTTGGGATTGGCGTGTGGTAGCTCCCCTCCCCTTCTTGCCCTCCCTGTACACCCCCACCCCGGCCTCTTGCCTTCTGTTTCTGTCACACCTGACATTCTGCAGAAGGCATCTGGCACTCAGCATGTTCTTGGTATCATCTTCCCAGCCTGTGCCAGAGGCGCTTGGCAAGCAACACCAAACCATCCATTACAGTGAAGAGTTGCCAGGATAAAACAAACACCTCTGGGCAGTGAGAAATTTCTTTAAAGGACACTGACATGTCTGAGCCACCAGTTTAGGCTTTATCCATCTTCTACCTGCATTCTCATTGGTTTTGGAAAGAAGTTCTGCATTGAAGAAATGGTAGTGCCAGGCCTTCAGAGGCTGAGGTAGTAAGAAATGATGTCCCATTGTGCTTTCATTGAAGGCAACAGCCTCCTGTTTGGATGATTTCATGCCCATGACAATGATGGAGTATTAGCATTGCCTACAACATGGTAGAGTGGGGGCTCTGTTCAGATGTTCCTCAAATGACACTGGCCTTGGTTCTTAGCTGCTCCTCTAGTCTTGGAGCCCTCTGGCAGTTTGTCAGCATTGTTTTTCTCATTCTTGGTCAGTTCTGAAAGTGTCCATTGTTCATATTCAGTGCTTCCTTTTCAAGTTTGGAGGATTAAAAAAATCCTTCTCTTGACCATCTGTCCTAGTACTGCCTAGACCAGTGCACCTCTCTTTGGCTGCTAGCTACAGGATTTGTGCTCTGGGTCTTCACAGAACAGAGTTCTGTAAGATAGGCAGGTCTGGTTGGATAATATGGCTGCATTGGAAAGGAAAGGCAGGGCATTGTAGCCAGGCTTCATACTGAATGATGTATTTCTGAGGTATAGCTTTGCTCTGTTTGATTCTTCAAGGCTAAGAGTGACCTTGGGCAGTAAAAAAAATGTTCCTATCACTTGTCTTTGAGGTGCTTCCCCTTTCTGATAGCATTCTGGCTTTTAAAGGCCTTGTTAACGGTCACATAAAGCCACATGTTTATTACCCAGTTTCCTTGTATTAGTCATAACTTCATGAGGTACTATTCTCATTCTGTGTACTAGGTGGCTAGTAGCATATGCTTTTTTTCAGCCACCCTCGAGCTTTCAGATTTATCCTTATAATTAGACCCAGAAAAGGGATTTGTTTTTAGCTAATACTGAAAGCTGTGGAGTGTTGCTGCTTCTGCATTAGTAGAAAATGTGCTTTTTAGTTATATTTTTCCAGTTGTTGGAACTGTATACTGGGTGGAGGTAAGAGGAGCTGCCATGGCCTAGCATGGACTCCACTGAGCTTGTCCAGATGGGAACCAAATCCTTGGCCACATCTGAACCGTGCCTTCACAAGCTGAGCTAATTGGAGAGCACCCTGTAGCTGCCACTGGCTCCTTTGTTAGATATTCCCGAAGATTGTGAATGCGTTCTGCGAGGTGTGTTTGTTGCTTCGCATATGTTAAATGACAAAATCCCAGTGTCACCTGGAATTTAGAGTAGAAAGGTACATTCCCCTTGAGTTCTGATATGCTCCCCATGGTGTGAAGGTCTTGGTGGAATAGAAATAAATTAAGCTTCTAATTAGTAAGCTGAGGTTCCCAGCCCTTCAACTTCTGTGAGACCAAAACATGCCGAAGTGAAAATCTTTAGACATTTTTGGTTCTGTCTGGAATTTGGTGGTTGGTATTCTGTTAACATTCCTCATCTAGTTACAAGTCATGCCAGCCACCGGTCTTCCCATGTCCTTCCCTTTGAACTCGGTGGTGTAACAGCACAGCCCTTGTATAGCTTTTTCCAAGAATTAGAACTGGCTGCACCTATCGAACGTGTGATGTGGGCAGCAAGACTGAGACCAGAGCCAGTGGCTGGCGGCCTGGCCTGCTTTTTCTGGCCCTCTGGGAAACTGGATCCAGGAAGAAGCGGTGGGTAACCTCCAGCCTGAATGTAGTCGTCAGTCGCCACACACTCCCCCACGGGCTGCACATTCTTTCACAGACCATTAGCTGCATGCGTGAGTATAATGTTGTTACTGTTTGGGCGATGTTTGCCGGGTCCAACAGGAAATCAGTCCTTCCCTTGTTTACCTAAACTGCCATGCCAAGATATAATGCTCCCTTTGCCTAGTGAAGGCGTGGAGAAGAGAGAAGGTAGAAGAAGGAAGAAAGCACTTCTTTGTGTTCATAGAGGATAGCTGTGGATCATGTCCCTTTTCACTCCCTAAGGAGGGGATGGCTCTCACAATGTGGGGAGGGGAGTACTATTGTAAATCTGCTCCATCTGCTACTGTTCATTTTAGTTTTGCAGCCTCAGTTATAAAAGTTTACAATCCTTGAACTTTTCCTTCTCGCCTCCTCCCCTTCATCCCTTAACCTTTCCTATCCATGTTTCAGCACTGACCCTGGGGAGGGAATTGGGAAGCAGACCATAGGCTAATATCAGAGAAATGTAGTGGGACTGTTGTGAGTAGTATGTGTGCCCCACACATCCTAGTCCCCAGCCGAGCAAGAGTGGAAGAGGAAGACTTCGTGTGCTGAGAACTGCAAGGAGCCACAGCCAGTCTAGTCTTTGTAGCTGTCCATAGTGAGCAACCTTTATTGGCATTAGGGCGTCAGACCTGCAGAGATCATCTCTTATGTGTGTCTAATTTATTCCATGCAAAGTTCACTTCCAGAAACTTGGTTGAAATTTAGGCCAGTCCTGAGATGCACAGTGATCTTGAGGGAGACCGGATTGCCTGCCAGGTGAATGGCATATATTTTTTTTTTCCTTGGCAGAGGTCCTGGCAGGGCTGGGGTCCATCCTACTGCAGCAGTCTTGGCCTTCTCTTGCTGTTTTGTAGGAAGGCCCTATCTGGCCACCTCTGCAAGTCCTTCCCCTTCTCAAGCACTCAGTAACTGGTGGTGTTGGCCCATCAGGAGATAGGGCATGCCTGAGGCCTATGCGAAATACCCACAGTGTGCAGTAGGATAAAGGTAAAGGCACTAGAGTGGACCCTTAGAATATCGGGTGAGTTCTAAATGAGCACAGTCCAAATGAGGGCCTGCATTCATCAACATCTCTGCCAGTTGTGACTTTGAGCTTCTTGCAGAGTTAATCCTATCTCCTGTGTATGTTTGTCCTTTTGTCCTCTACTCCTCCAAGACATTTGCAAAGCACCATTTAAATGGGGGACTGGGCCATAATCCATCTCTAAGTAAAGACCCAGTAAAGACTTGTGGAAGACGAGCTCAGCTGAACAAAGCCTGGAGGCCATAGACCATAGACCAAAGGCCCTTAGGAGACAGGCCCAGAGTCCTCCTGCGGGAGCAGTACCATTTTAGTCTGGTGATCTTGCCATCCAAAGGCTTCCTGAGCAGTTCTTGGTGCCCCTTGGCACTGGCCCCTTTCCCTCTGAGGGTGCTGTGAAGGGCATGGCTCCAGTAAGCTGAGGTATCTGGTGTGTGGGCAGCAGCTGGAAGTGTGCAGTCATGGCTTCAGATGAGGTTGTTCCTGAGACGCTGTTCCTGCTCCAGGGAGAGCTCTGCATTGGCGCGGTAGGAATCCCCTGTGGACCAAAGGAGAATGGGTAAGTAGCCAACCCTACCATGCTCTCATGCCCTCCCTGACAGTTTCTCTCTCTCTCTCTCACACACACACACACACTCTCTCTCTCTCTCTCTCACACACTCTCTCTCTCTCTCTCTGCCCCACTCACCCTTTACATCAGGCCAGTCATGGGCATAAACATTTTGTAGAAATAGACCCTGATACGTAGTTTCAGGGACATCAGAAAGAATAGGCTATTGAGTGGAAAGGGTTGTGCTGATTATTCTTTGCCCACCCTCCATCCCCAGGTTCATTCTCTATCCTTCTTTGTTTTCTCTGTGCCCTAGATCACTTCACCCTAGCTTCCTCATCCTCTGGTTTCTGGTTGATTTAGGTCAGTGGGAAGCAACAGCAGGAGATTAGCAGATGGAAGGAAGGAGAGATTGGGGTATTTCTTCCCTGTTCCTGTGGTCATGGCCTCCCATGCCTCCTGCTACAGTCAGGTTCTCCCTCCAAGCTTGAGCTTTTCTCTGCCTCCAGGACACCCTGTACCCCTTCAAGCTAAAAGGCGTTAACAATTTCCCACTCTTGCTTCTCCCCAGATGCCTCAACACCCCTCATTTCCTTGGTCCTAGTCACACCTCTCTAGGTAGTCCTTTCATTAAGTAACTTTGCATTCTCACCTGGTATGTCCTCTCTTTTCTGCAAGGACCCCTACAGTGGTCAGAAGTGCACTGTTTTTCTTTCCTTCCTCACCACCCCAGATCCCTTGCAGCCTTAGGTTCCAATTTTTGGTATCTCTGATGTTCCTGTCTCATTTCATGGCAGCAAAACCCACGCAGTTACACAATTTTGAATCCTTGGACTATTTCCTCTTTCTCCTCTTACTGTCTTGCATCCATTGGTAGAGTTACCCTTTTGAAAACATGAATCTGATCTTTTTGCCCCCCCTTGACTGAAATTTGTCAGTGGTTCCCAGAAGCCCACAGGAGAGTCATTCTCTTAGCAAGAACCATCATAACCCTCCTTGAAAAGCACTTTAGTGGTTTTGAAATATATAGTCCCCCATTTTAAAAAAAGAGAAAAACTTCTTCGAGGTTGAGATGTTCCTCAGTCTTACAGCTAGAAAGTGGTGGGCTTGGGTTTGGAACCCAGTGAAGCCTGGAGCCAAATCCTATGCTCCTCCTATTCTTCTTTCTTCCCTGACTTCTGCCTCTCCTTTGAAACCCAGTTCAAACGTCACTTCCTCTGGGAAACCTTGCTGGCCTCCAGGTTGTTGCTTTCTCTCAGTGCTTGCTCAGCATTAGTTCATACTGGTTTGGAGTACTCTAGTATTGGGGTTATCCATTTGCATGCCTGCTTACCCTATTTGACACTGAGCTCCACATTTTACTCCTATTTATTTTTCTAGTGCCTGGCACAGTATTTGGCACAAAAGTAGGTCTTAAATGTTTGTTGACTGAATAAACCAGTCCTGCCCCACCCCATATGTGCAAAGTGTGGGTGTGAATGCATACACCCCATAGCAAGTACAGGCATTTCATAACTTTAAGATAGAGGAGGGACTGCTACCTTTCTTTACAGACAAGTAGGGCAACCACCTCCATACTCTGTCCCCCACTGAATCATTGTTTCTTCCATTGTCCAATACTACCAATCCTGCAAATGTCCTGAGCCCTGTTCTCTGTGTCTGCCTTCTTGTGCTCAGCGATCACAGCTGGAGACAGCAACACAGAGCTGGCGGACTTCTTCTGCCTGTGAGGCAGTCAACTTAGACGGGCACGACGAAGACCATACAAAAGGGAGGGTGAACAATAACAGGGCTGGGAAAGAGAAATCCGGACTTGGCTTGAAGTAACAGAAAAGACTCCAGGACAGATGGGAGACAGAGTTTATAAAACAAACAGCCTTAAGGACAAAGAGGGGTTTAGAAGTTAAGTCGTGGCTGGGTGAGGCTGCTGGTGTGACCAGTTGGGTCTAGAAATGTGCCTATGAGGAGGTCAAGGGAAGTTCATCTCTGCCCTATCCCTAGCCTTACACATCCGCCTTCCAGCCCCGTGGCGGGTACAGGTCGCGTCTCCCAGCTTTCCAAACCCGTACGCGGCTGGCCCCACAAGGGCTCGCAGTTACCTGTGTGGCAGTTGTGCAGCCAGACCCGGTGCCCGTCATACTTGCAACGGCACCGCATCATGTTGTTCGAGAAATCAGACTCCGCCACCTCGTACTGGGGGTTCACAACCACCTGGAGTGAGACAAGGGGACACGTGAAAGGTGACGATCGTGGCTGTGATCATCCTTTACCTTTCATGCAGTCTCACAAAGGGTGTTTATACCCTTAGCTTCCCTAATCCTTCAAGGCACCCAGAGGGCGGGCGTTAATGTTCCTGTTCTACATTGTCCACTGAATCAAGACTCAAACCCAGGTCCTCGGGATCCTCCTTCAGTGTCCAAATGCCAGGCCTGTGGGAGACCCTAGCTGTGAAACTCTTCTCTCCTGTGACTGCAGGGAGACTTTTGGGATATCCGCAGGAAACGGAGTTCCTATGGGGGAATCCCCAAGCCCCCTTACCTGGAAGATGTAATTCCCAGGGCCCACATCTGTGATATCCACCCACTGGCAATCGATGTCATGCCGGTAGGTGTCCCAGCAGCCGACAGTCACTCCCTGTTCCCCGAAGTTGGCACATGCATAGCGCTTCTGCAGTCCTGTGAGGAAGGGTGCCAACGGTTACTGAGGCAGGGAAGAGGTGCTGGGGAGCCAGCACGCTGCTAAGCCCTGCACACCGAATCCTCACACGCGTCATACCCTTACGTGCAATCAGATGAGGGACTCACGGTTCCGCTAGATAACTTGCCTGAGTGTCAGAGCCCAAATTCTGACTAACCCTGAATCCAGCGCGGTAGCAAGTCCCATCTGTGACAGAGATGATATCTCTGGATGCTCTAGTGGAAATTCCTGTTGGCCTAGGAATTGTGGGTGGAAGGTTCCAGCCCTACATGCTAATACATTTGTCTGTCCGTCCTTCCGACCCTCTGAAGAGTGAGTTTGCCATGCCATTCTGAAGGGCTAGGAACTGTGGGAATGCAAACAGGAATCGGACAATGTGCCCTCAGAGAACTGAGCCGAAGTGAAACAGGCCTGCAACTCTTATGCAAAATCCAAAGTATTCAGCCTTTACAAGTGGTACGAAGTGTGCTGGGAATGCAGTGGCAGAGAGACCTTCCATCTAAGACGTCAGAAGGTAAGACACCGATCTTTTTGAAGTGCCTTGGGTGCTGACTGTTGCCAGGCCAGGGTCTCCAGGTGCCCGAGGGGGTCTTTCCCCAAGGGCACACGGGAACCTCACCCTGACAGGGCTGAGGAAGAGAACACCAGGAGGTTATGCTGACGGGGAACCGCATACCTGTGGGGCAGTTTGTGTCCTCCAGGCAGAAGCTGGCCTTGTGCCCCTCGGCCACCTTGGAGCCATTGAGAGTGAGTAGGTCATAGTGGGTGAAGACCTCGATGCTGTGGTAGTGCCTGCAGACAGGGAGGGCTGTCAGCCTGGCAGCCGCAGCAGAGGGTCCTCTCTGGGGGAGTGGGCAGGGCAGACTGAGGCACCGGGCCCCGTCATTACCCGGGAGGGACGGTATCGTCGCGGGGCAGTGCCCTTCTCCCTCTCCAAGCCACGATTCGTGTGATCCATGGTCTACCTTCCCAGCAGCCCCCGCCCGGTGTGAACCCGGGGTGAGGAGGGGAAAGCTAGCCGGCAGGAGGCTGGTGCCTGGCCTCCAGGCCCGACCGGGAGCGGGAGGAAGGGACACCTCTAGGAACCAGCCTCGGGGCTGAGCGGCCAAGGAAGGGTGCTTACTCTGCTCCCTGGGAGCCCGAGACCAAATTGCTACCATTGTTTCCAGTGCAGTCCTAATGACAAGTCCGTTCCTGCTGCAGGGGAAGGTGCTCATTATCTCAGCAAGGCCAAGTCCCAAGTCACTGCCCACGCCACTGCGCTTTTCCCACCCACGCTGCGTCCTGAAGGATAAAACCACCACTTTCCCATTCTGCCTTTGTCACAGGCCTTGTCTCTCCTGTCTGGGCTGGAGACTCCTGATAGGAAAGAATGCCCATTGTCTCCTTTCAGTCCCAGCGTTCCTACTTTCCTTGGGGGGGCCTCGCTCTGTGGCTACAGAAACCAGCAAATTTTTCTGCAGAGCCAGCATCCTGGATGGGATGTCTATTTTGGGTTTCTAGGTTTCTAGGAGTCCCCACTTTGTGCGGCTTTTAGAGACAAGGCCTAAGGTCCACCAGAGAAAAATTAATTGTCCCATATCATTCTAATAGAGACCAGCTCTGCTGGCAGTGACTGTTCTGCCGGCTGCTGCTGGGGGAAATGCACCCTGGGAGCACTGCCCAGGGCGGTACCATTGGGGCAGGGCCTGTCAGTGCCCCCGGAGTTCCCTACTGGCTTCTGGAGACAAAGCCACTGAGGCATTGAGGAAGGAAGGCTCTCACTCAGAGTGCACACCTCTCCCAGGAAAGTGCCCAGGGTCAGGGACAGACCACACTGGTTTGGTTCCTGCACTCTGCTTACGAACCTGTGGCACTGGTGCCAAATCCAGCTGTGACGCCCTGTCTTGGGACGGAAGTCGGCCCGGCCCAGGTTGTAGATCTGTGAGGAGAAGCGCAAGAGGCGCCGGTGCCCGTAGGGCCAGTCCATGCTGTCGGCAGACTGGGAGAGGCAGTTCTCTTCGTGGGCGCAGTACAGCTGGCTGAGCGGGCGGTCCTCCAAGTAGGCTGTCTCCTGCACCAGCTGGGCGTTCATCACCAGGTCCGGAGCGCCTGCGGCCACAGGCCAAAGCTAGGAAGGCAGCCGTGTTGCTCTTGGGCATTGCGGGATGGGCTTGCCCCAAACCGGGCTCTTTGGGGGAGCTACCAGGAGGGCAGGGCTCTGCCCAGAAGAGGAGGGCGGTGTAGGAGTCAGGAGAAGTGAGTTCAAGCAGCTACCGCGCCACGGTTTAGCATGACGGCTTTGGAGCCAGGCGGCTGGGGTTCAAGTCTTGCTTAGTTTCTGACCACATCTTTCACTAGCTCTGTGACTTGCTTAACCTTCTGTCCCTTATTTTCCTCAACCATAAGATGGGGATTGTAATAATGCCAATAATTCCAATACCTGTAACATGTTAAGGTCACTGTCGGGTAAGCATGCAGTTGATGTAAGCTGGTATTTCATTGTAAGATGCTCCTCAGCTTACAAGTGCCTTTGCGTGGTCTAGCTCACACAGCCCCTCCTAAGCCCTGCTGCGCCAGCTTGGCTTCCTCAGCTCAGTCACTCTCTCTGGGTCTCAGTTCCTTCCAGGTAGGGGCGCGGAGGGGAGAGTCCGGAGAGTTCATCTCTGAGCCTGCTCCGGAGCTCTGCCGCTCCGGTCCATCCTGCTGCAGTTTTAGGCTTGGCCTCCCCCAGGGTTCCTGTTCTAACCTGACTGCTATTCTGGATATTCGCAGCAGCCCATCCTGTGCGTTCTCCCCTGAGGACGCTTCCCGTGCTTCCCTGTGCGTAAACGTCCACCGTGCTGGAAATGCTGCTCCCTTCCTGTCACAGGGGCTCTCACCCACCTCGGAAGCCACATGTCTCCCCACCACTGGGGATCTGCCCCTGTTGCCATGTCACATCAGGAGAGGAAAGTTGCCCATTCTCAGGGCTTTTCCTTGCAAAAGCAGGGATACAGTTCAGATTTTGGCCGAGGCATCAGCAGGGTGAGAGCCTGCGTGCTGAGGATGGGGAGACGGGGCTGCTGGTTAATTTCAGCAGGCGCCACTGAGGGTGGCAGTGGGCGCTGGGCTGGTTGCCAGAGGATGCCTGGACCATCACTAAATGCTCCCGAAAGTCCTGTGCTTATTGCTATGCTCACTGGCAAACCCTACAGTTCCTGAGGGAAAGGAGAGCTTCCAGAGAGACGGAGAAGGAGAGAGAGCAAAGAAAAAAAGGAATGAGAGCGATCACAGAAGAAACAGGGATGGTCACACGGTTGGCAGGTAGCCTGTCTGTGCTCAGCCGTGGCGAAACATCAGAAGCCTTCAGGAGGAGAGCTGCTGCTGCAGGCAGCAGAACAGGGAAGGCTACAAGGGTCCCAGGTGGGGGAGAGACTGGGGAGCAGGCCCCCAACGTGCTGTGAGCCCCGGTGCTGGGAAGGCCCGGGCTGGTACCACACCCTGCTGGCGAGGGTGTGCCGTGAGGACCTAGTATCTTCTAGGGCGCACTGGTCAGAGAGGAGCCCTCAAGCTCACTGACAAAGAGTAAGGATGTCTTGGCATGGAAACCTGGCTGGGAAGAGGGTCGCATGGCCGCTTGGTGTGGTGCCAGCTGCAGCCCTTGGACTGCATGTAGTATCTCGGCCTTGGCCTGGTTGGCGGTGTCTGCCCGAGAATCTGGGTGTGTGGGGCGGGCCCGTGCCTCAAAACAGTCTTGTCCTATGGCCTGCTGGGCGAATCCCACAGGGAAGGAAGAGGACACATGGCTGTGGCCTAGTGCATACGTACATAATTCCCAGGAGAAAAGTCTGTGCTTATGAAGTCCAGCACATTCTCTTGTTTTCGCTCCCGTTTTGTTTTTCTTTCAACTATCGGTCACCACACGGAAAGTGAAAGACGTGATTGTGTATTCTTGTGTTTTCCCATATTCCCTGCCTTACTCCTCACCGTAACCCCATGAGCCGGGCAGGGCAGGGCTGGGTCCCCAGGTGACAGGTTACTTGGCCACCCACAGCTGGTCAATGGCAGAGCCGCTGCTCCAAGTCCAGCCCTCCTCCCACCACCCACCGTTCCAGGCCCTCCCTGAGAATGGGAGGTGTGGGCGGGCCCCGCTGGCATGGGGCGGGGGGCGGGCAGCGGCTCCATGGGTCTTACTCACTGTCTGTGCAGGAAACCCCGGCGGCAAAGCGCCCCGAGCCGTGGGGGCAGTGCACCGGCCCGTGCCTCTGACACTGCTGCAGGGCTAGCTCTGGGCCCGAGCAGTGCACACCGCTCATCACCACGTCTGTGGCCCCTGGCGTCCCCTGCCAGTACCAGGTGTCCTGAGAAAAGAGCCGCCAGTGCCCCGTCAAGGCTGGGGGTGCTTTGGAGCCATCCCCTCCGACGCCAGTCTGATGTTTGAACCCCGTTGGACCACCCCCACCAGGCTGTGCCCAGCCCCAGCTTGAAAGTCTTCAGCAAGGCGACAGTCCCTGCTACTTTGCACCCCTCCAATATCAGAAGTTTCTTGCATGCATTGAGGCAGGAATATTCTTCCCCCACTGGCCTTGCCCCCACCCTCGCCCACACGGCAGCCCTCAGCTGTCGAAGAGGATGGTCCTGTCCCTTGCTGGCCACTCAGCCGGCTGCCCCGTCTCTCCAGCTGTGCTTCCTGTAGCCCGGGGGGTCGGGGGTGCTCAAGATTGGGCCCCGTTTCCTAGGTGCAGTGTGCCCAGCATTGTCCCACCGGCCAGGGTGGGCTCAGCAGAAGACGTGCCATCCCAGCCCCGCCACGGCCTCGCGATTTTCTTTCCCGGATCCCTCTTGAATCTACCCGCATCTCCTCCAGGACTGCCTCTCGTCTGGACCACGCCAGCATCATCTCTCAGCTGGGCTACTGTGATGTCAGGTTTCCTGTATTCCTGTTCCTCATTGTTCCTCGCTGCCCCACAGTGTGCCAGACAGCACAGAAGAAATGTTTGAAATATCTGCACTGCAGATGGAACGGTTTGCCTGCCTCTTCCTCCCTCCCTCACACATCACACCCTTGACAGCCCCACTCTGGCCCTGGTCCCTGATTTCCCAACGGGCCAAGCTTCCTTGGGCTACAGGGCCTCCGCGTGGGCTGTTCATCCCCACCCCACCTCGTCTGGTGAGCTTCGAGTCATCTTTCCTAGAGGCGAAGGTGCATGCCTGTTGTGTGAATGTTTTGTTAACAACCGCCTTACTCACTTTGCTGACTGTTCCCCAAGGCGGGAGCTATGTCTTGTTCACCACACTGTCCCCGGCCCCCAGCATGATGTCAGCCCCCAGTTTCACTCAGTAACTAATCACTGAATGAATGAATGAATGAATGAATGAAGGGCTAGCCCTTTTAGCACAGGAAGTTTGGAAGCAAGACGGGGACCTACCTTGATCGCGTGGTTGGCAAAACCCAGGCCGAGCTGTCGGCAGGCCACCATGGCTTCGGTGAGCCCCCAGTGGTCGCTGCACACGGCCCCCCAGCGTCGGACTCCGTTCACCTCCACCTGCACCTCCACCACACCCTCCTCAGGGCCACGCCCACCGGCCAAGCGCACCTGCAGTGGTCAGAGGTGTGTGAGGAGCACTGCGGCCTCCAGAGGGCAGGGCTCAGGACTGCCAGCCAGGAGACGGGTCGGGGCCGGCTCCCTGGGCAGCCCTGGGCACGGCTCTCCCCTTCTCTGACTTCGACTCCCTCTCTGTTACTTGAGGACATTTTGCTAATGGTCCCTGCTGTCCCTGCCCACTAGAGCGATCTGACTCAGGGTGCCTGCCCCTGGGCCTCCTGCTCTGGGACTTGCGCTCCTCTTACCTGAAATTCTACCATTAATGATGACTTGCCAATTGCAAAGGGCTTTCGTATCTATTGTTGCATTCACAATAACCCGAGGAGACAATTAACCCCACCTGACAGAAGAGAGAGCCAAGCTCAGAGACATGAGCGACTTGTCCACTGTGCACATGATGCAAGACACTTGAACTCAGGCCATCCTACGTAGCCTCGCCAGTGACACTCCCCAGCACCGACAGCCCTGTGGTCCTCTGCCCTAGCCCCCTTCTTTCTCAGCCTCTCTGGGGACCTGAGAGGGTGTAGTGGGAGAATGCATCCACCTGAAGAGTCCCTGTCACCACGGGACATCTCTGAAGGCCAGAACCTGGCCCCGAGGAGACGTGGGCCAGGCCAGGGGAGACTTAGAGGAGAGGGCTTTCCAGACTGGCTCTGAGAACCCCCTCTCCACTGGTGCAATATGATGTCCTGGGGGCTCTCTCAGGGCTTCCCAGCCCCCTAGCCTGAAGCCAGGCCCGAATCCGAGCTCACCTGATTCTGGAAGCCCATGTCAGGGACGTTGCACCTGACAGCAGCATCATTCTCATGTTGACAACCATTCTGGGACCCTTCCAGGGAGGGGCAGTCACTGAGGGTCTGCTCATAACCCCTGCAGCGCACCTCACTCAGATGGATGGGTCCCAAGCCTAGTGGGGAGAGGGAGAGGTGTTGTGTAAGGCTCCACCTCTGTAACCTCACACCTGGGGCTTCCCCCCCATAGCCGGGGAGAATATTCTTTCCTGGGCCTTGGCACCAGAGCCACCAAGGGATGGAGCAGTGGCACATCCATGGCCTCCTACCTCACCCCAGGCCTCCTCACTTACCTTGGCCCAGCTGGGCCCCAAAGAGGGCCTCCCGAGCCGAGCCAAAGCCAAGCTGACGACACACGATGCTGGCAGAGACGAGGTTCCATCCGTGGTCACAGACCGTCCCCCACTGGTGGTTCATGAGCACCTCGACCCTGCCCTCACCCACCTGGGCCCCGGAACGGAGGCGCACCTTTAGCTCCTGCCAGGAAAAAATTGGCTTCAGGGCAGGCAGAGGAGGAGGCAGTGGGCAAGGCGGAGCCACCAGGGGAGGGGAGCCTGGGCCAGGCCCCTTCGAGCTGGGCGAGCCCATGACCGGGAGTTCCAGTCCCACCTCTGACGGCTCATAGCTACTACCTTGAATTCTCCAATAAGCCGTTCTTCTCAAGCACCCTTTCCTCGCGACAAAGACCCACCACACGAGCCACAGTGGTAACAAGGGAGCCTCAGGAGCTGGGATTCGTGGCCTTCACAACCCTCTGGCTGCTCTCTAGGGGGGTCCCTTCCTCTCATCCAGCCCCAGCTCCTTCCTTGTCCTTGGGGGCTGAACTAGATCAGTGTTCCCAAAGGGATCCGTGAGATGATTTCAGAGCTGCGCAGGGACATGGTATGAATTAAGCTGACTCACACAGTGGGGAAGTGATTTCCGTGTTAAATCTTCTCCAGTCCTTCCTGTTTCCTGGAGGATGCTATCCCACTGCCGGGCTGCCATGTCGGGAACAGCTCACCAGCACACGCTGTGGCTTTTTATAACAGAGGGCCGGGCTCAGGTTCAGAACCTTCGGCCTCAACTGGGTGTTAGCTACGACGTAATTACTGTTTTTATGGTTACCTTCTATTCGTGGCCAGTGATGTCAGCTTTCCATTTATGGTCGGGTTATAAACGGTTCCTTTTACATAAATTCCCAGTTTCTACCATGCTATGCTTCGCTCTCCTCCTCCCAGTCTGCACCAAGTCCTCCTCGATAGGGGCGATTGGTCCCTCCGCTCCTGCCTGTCCCGGAGGGCCCCTCACTGCCCGTGCCTCCCACCTGCTCCTACTGACACCTGGCCGGACCCACCTCTGCCCGGGACTCCTTGTGCCCGGGCTTTGCCTTTGCAGGGTGGAAGCGGGGCCCCGCCACACAGCTGACCACAGCGTGCATGCCGCCCGGGCAGGCCGGCCGCAGCTTGCCCTGTGCTGGTGCCACCTGCACCTGGCAGTTGGCCATGTGGGGCTCTGTCCCCAGACAGTTGACCCGGTGGATCCAGAAGGAATTCTTCTGTGTCAGGCTCTTCAGCCTGGAAGACAAGGGAGACTGAAGGTGGGGAGGGGTTGAGGGAGCTCAGGAGTCAGGGAGGCCGAGGCACTGGGCAGGAGAGGGACATGCCCTCCCCCTTCGTGCCATGCCCCTCTGCACCCTCCCCTCAGGATGCGGCTCCTCACCTAGATTTGGGGTCCTTCATCTTCAAATTCCAGACTTTCCTAGGTGGGAGAAAACAGGTGGTGGGTGGAGGGAATGCCAAATGCCCTCTGTCCCCTGGCTCCTCATGGCTGTCCTTGAGTTGGCACGGGGATTCCGTCTGTAAACTCGGTCGCATTATTTTAATACCGAGCCTTGCAGCAGCCCTGGCAATGTGATCTGCTCGCAGACACCGACGATGTCCATGTCACAGGGAGAAGAGCGGGGCCCAGCAAGGTACCTCCTCAACTAGTCCCAAACTGGGGTCTCTTCTGCACGGGACTGCCCCTGAGTGGGCAGTCCCCAGCTTGCCCTCTCCCCATGCAGACGGCGGGGAGCCTCTAGGGAGTGTCCTGAGAGAAGAGACCCAGGGGAAAGGTCCTCCGGGGGCAGGTACAAGTTGAAGGCCTGGCTGCCCACCCAGAGGCTATAATCAGGACTGCCCCCCTCGGGTGGTGAGCGAGTCAGCCAGGTCCAGAGGTGCAATTACCAGGCCGCGGGGAGTCAGGGGCCTGCACCCCAGTCGTCCCCAGGGATGGAGCCAGGTGGCTGATCTTCGGGAGCCGGCCTATCTAAGTCAGAGCCACTAAACTGCCTGGGGGTGGGCAGGGGGAGACCGCTCAGACGGAGTGTGGGGGACGTCTCCCTTGATGAGAAACACACAGAGTTTTCACCAGCACCGAGCAGGTGCCATTTAGAGGCTAATGCAGTCTTGTGACGGTTCGGTCACATTTTCGACAGAAGATTTTTATGTCTCCTCTCCCAAGTGCTGCCCCACCCCATGCCTCGCTCACACGCAACACAGTCAAAGCCTGGCTCGGATCAGAGTGGAAGAAGTTCCCTGCCGACTGGCTGATCGAGGCCCCGGGGGCCCTACCAACGGCGCATGGGGCATTACTGGCAGAGATGAGACTGGAACTCAGGTGGTCTCTCCCTGTGGGCCCTGCCAGAAGCATCTTCAGTCAAGTCCAGTTCTTTAATCAGGGGCACAGCTTTGCATTCAGTTGTTTTCAGCTCTTTCCATACGACTAGCAAGGACCACGTTTCTTTTTTGTTTCTAGGTACTTCCCAGGGTCTCCAAACTCATCCTCACTCTCTTCCTCATTATTCTGAGAGCCCTGCAACTGGCAACTCGGGAGGTCCGCAGGGCTCGTTTCCCTCCCGGTCCCACGCCCATCTCACGACACTCTGCAAGGCCCCGCATGTCACACACACACACACACACACACACACACACACACACGCATCCTTGTCTCACACACAGGAGAACACGTGTATACTTGCACAGGCGTGCACACACTCAGTCACCGCCCCACAACCCACGCCCCCCACGGCCCTCTGCCCACCTGTTCTTCCTACCTGTAGTAGAGGCTGTCGACAGGTGCCTCGCTGGGGAAGCCCAGCATCCCACACACCACCTTGCTGTTGTTCCTGGTCCAGTCCTGGTCACACACCTGCCGCCAGTGGCCCTCGTACTTCACCTCCACCACTCCCTCGGTCACCAGGCTGTGCCGCTTGGCGCTGGCGAGGATAGGCTTGAGCCGCACCTCCTCCAGCCGCCGGCCCTGCAGGGTGCATGGTCACTACGGGCCCCAGGGCTCCTGCCCTGGCTGAACCCGCTGCAGATCTTCACATGGGTGAGCCAGGGCTCAGAGCATTTAAAGATCACCCCCCACACATACCCGCGGGCCTCCCTGGACAGGTCAGGAAACAGAGGCCCAGAGATGAGGGCTCTTGCCAAGGCCACACAGTGAGCACGAGGCAGAGCCTTGGTCTGTCTGTGCTCCTCTCTCAACTGCAGAGAGAACCAGGCAGGTCTTTGCCCGCCCTGGGATCAGGCTCGGGCGCTTTGGAGTTTGGGAGCCTTCTGCTGGGCGCAGAGGGACTTTCTCTATGCCACCTGGGGAGAGCTGAGGATGGGCACAGACCAGCTGCTTGAGACTACCAGCAGGATCGTTGGCCCAGGGGACCGTAGGTCTGGGGTGACTTAGACCATGAAGACCACCGCACCCTGGTCTGCTGCATTTGTGGGCCAGGGCTAGCTGTCCTCAGGCTGGGGTTGCCCAGCAGTGGAGGGTAAGGGCTAGGATCTGCCCTGCCTGCTCCTGTTGTTTGGCTTGGGCTGTTTTTAGCTCGAGGTTGTTTGTGCTGGGAAGAGGCAGCAATTGTGGCTGGCCTTGTGGGTGAGGCAGCCCCTCACCCCCTCCTGCCTCTCATGGGGAGCAGCTTCAGCGATCCCCAGCAGGCCCAGCTTGGCACCCCCCAGCCTGCCTGCTACACGCTGGGCCTCTGTCCATGCACCTGCTCCAGGCCACCAACAGGGGGTGGGGCCCTGGGGGACATTTCTCAGCCCAGTCTCCTCCCTTTCTCTTCCCTCTTCCTCCAGGTTCATCACCCAGGAGTCTCTCTGACCCGTGACTCAACCCTCGGCTCAGGCCAGGGCCTGAACAGCCTCCTTACCTGGGGCCCAAGGGCATTGGAGACCCTCTCAGAAAGATAGCCGCGCTGGCGCTGGGGGTGGCACACCACCCCGATGTCCTCTGAGTGGCTGCAGTCACTGACACCCCAGCCATTGGATGTGCACTGGTCTAAGGAGCTCTCTGTGCCCATACAGCGCACATTGTCCAGCCAGATGGGTCCTGAGGGCAGAGGAAGGGTGATGCTTAGGGACAGAGAGGCATTCATGGGCTGTGCCTCCTTCCTAGGACCCCACAGTTATCAACTGTCTTCTTCCAGAGCCTGAGTAGAAAGGAGGGGTAGGGGAGAGGAGTCAGTTCTCCTGGGATCTTGGAATCTATAAACCTACCTACTGCCAAGAGGAGGTAGAATCTGTTTTTGGAAAATGCCAGGTGGGTCTAGTAATTAGATCTACCTGTCCACCGATCCATCCATCCATCTATCCATCCATCCATCCATTCACTCAACATTTGCTGAGCACCTACTGCGTGCCAGTCACTCTGCAAGAGTGGACTGGGGTGGTGGTGGTGACGGCGGGGGCCTCACCGCAGGCAAGAATGGGAGGGTCAGCGCAGGGGGTGCTTGTAGCTGGGGCACTCAGGAAATGCCTCATGGAGGAGGTCAGTTGAGCTGGGTATTAAAGGGTGGGCAGGAGTCTGTGGAAGCCTCAGGGAGCCCAGCGTCTGAGAGAAACCCACCATCATCCTGCTGGGTAGCACCAGGCACTCACCCTCCCCTTGGCCATACTTGGCACTGTGGGCCCAGGTCAGGGCAGTTTCAAAGCCCAGTTGGCGGCAGGCCACGGTGGCCTCTCGGAGAGCGAAGTCATCATCACACACGGTACCCCACTGGCCCTGGTACAACACCTCCAGGCGGCCCTCCTCTGGTTTGCTCCCTGGGCCCACCAGCCGTAGCTTCACGGGGCTCAGTGACTGTAGCCTGCAAGGAGGGGCCTGCAGCAGCAGGAGCAGGGAGAGGGCAGCTGATAGGGACCACATCGTGCTGACTTCAAGGGCAGCTGTGGCCCAGGCACCTGGGAAGGAGCAAACATGATATAGATCACCACCTCTACCCCTGATCTCGGCCTCTTCTGCTGAAGGGACAAAAGATGGCAGGGCCCCTCCACATGTGTGTATGCTATGGGCATGTGTGTTTGGTGGCATCGATTGAGTCTGGGCTCTGAGATTGGTCAACTGGGTTTATTTTTTTTTATTTTTTATTTTTTTTTAAAGATTTATTTATTTGAGAGAGTGAGAATGAGAGAAAGAGAGTACATGAGAGGGGGGAGGGTGACAGGGAGAAGCAGACTCCCCGTCGAGCAGGGAGCCCGATGCGGGACTCGATCCCGGGACTCCGGGATCATGACCTGAGCCGAAGGCAGTCGCTTAACCAACTGAGCCACCCAGGCGCCCGGTCAACTGGGTTTAAACCCACCATTCATTGTTCATGAGACCTTGAGGAAGTTTAAGTTTGACCTTACTGAGTCTCAATTTCCTCCTCTGTAAAGTGGGAATAATAATCCTTGCCTCAGCGTTGTTAGTGCTAAATAAAACACCACACAGTTGGCTCTCAGTAAATAGCTCACCTTGATATAGTCCTGTATGTAGGTAGAGGGGGTAGCCTAGCCTCTGAGTGATAGGAGAGCCCCCAGGGTGCCCTCAGGGCCAGAAAAACGACCCCGGGGCATCACTCTTGCCTTTCTTTAGATGTCCCTGGCCACCGTCCCCATAGGAGGTACATGGAATGCTGGGTTGGAAAAAAGTCATTTGAGGGGAGTCTAGGCCTCCACCCCTCATTTGCTGTGTGGCTTGGGCAAGTCTCTTAAACTCTCTAGATCCTAACTCCTTATTTCTAAAGTGAGGAAACTGAACCAAAAATGGTCTAATATCTCCTCCAGCTCAGATGGTCTATGCTATCTTCAAGCTCGGGGTCCGTCTAGGCCCGTGATTCAACAAACATGTTTGGAATACTTGCTTCCCGCCAACTATTAGGCCAGGTGCCAAGCCACAGACGTGAGGACACCAAACACTACTCCCTGCTCTCGTGAAGCTCTGAGAAGCACTACTTAAGCTGGGCCTTGCTGGGTGGGCAAAGGGGTATTCCATGTAGAGAGGACGGGATGGGTAAAGGAGCAAAGAGGCGAGTCTGTGCAGGGGCAGAAAGTATCCTCTCTTTCCCTTGTACTGCAGTAGAGGAGGATGAGGGGGATGAAGGCGGAGGCACGGGCTGGGGCCGGATAACCGAGGGCCCTGTGCACCTGCGGAGGGTCTGCTTTTCATCCTGTAGGAGGCGAGGGGCCATGGGAGGGTTTTAGGCAGTGAGCACACACCAGAGAGAGGGCTCCTGTCTCCAGGAGGCTGTCATCAGCTGCTCTTTGGGTCCTTGGAGGGGGATGAAGTTAAGGGCTGGTGTTCTCCCCCTTACACATTAGCCGCCTGGGTCCTGGAACAGGGTGGGGGAGGAGCATGGGGGGAGAGGTCATGGCTGGTGAGGGCTGCCAGAGGGTCTGCAGCCCCCAGTGCTGAAGGTCCGCCCCTGCCTGGCTCTGCAGCCAGTGAGGAGCTGAGGCCAGCCTGGAACACAACGGAGAAAGTTGGGTCTTGACTTCCTGTTCCGTGCTGGAGTCTTAAGAGAGCTCGTTCTGGGGAGCCCCCATCTTCCATGGCCTCTGCTGTCCCTGGGGCACTGTGTAGCTGGTCAGTCTCAGTAGGGAGGGCCTCCCAGGGCCCCCTGCCACTCCCTTTCGCACAGATGGTACCTGGCTGGGAATCAGTCCTATTCCTTCCTGCTGTGACCCAGCCCCACGCCCTCTGGCCACCAATCCTCTGGCTTTGGTGAGCCCAGGGCTGGCTGGAGGGGCTCCTAGAAGGACACTAGATGGGCTCAGGACCGATGCTCCACGGGGATGGCGACTCTGTGTCGTGCCCCCAGTGCCCAGAAGAGTGCTAGGCCGGTCCGTAGGTGGCCCCCATAAATACCCGCGGTTGCATGGCAGCGAGGCACGGCACCGTGCTTAAGGATCCAGACTGGGAGTCAGACTGCCTGAGTTCTCACTCCACTTCCAACAGTGAGTTTCTGGGTAGTCTTGGGCAGGTGATTTCATAGCTCAGTGCCACGGTTTTGCCTCTGTGAAATGGGGATACTAAATAGCACCGGCCTCATAGGATTCTTGTGAAGCTTAGATGAACGGATGCAAGCTGAACCCTGAGAGTTCAGCTCTCCCTGACAGTTAACTCTCATGACAGCAGCTTAACAGCCACTATGGAGCCCCTGGGCTGGGGTGGCCCAGCCCCTCTTGGATAAAGAAGGAATGGAGGCCACATCTGAACTCAAGAGCAAGTCCCCGGTGCCCTTCTTTGCGACAGCCTCCGGATTTGCCTCTTTTCCCTCCGAGCCCAGGTTCTCCAGGTTCCCGGCCCTGGGGCCGGGTGTTGCGGCAAAGTCTTTATCCACCATGATCCCTCCTGCACTTCCTTTCCAGACTTAAACACTGTTTTCTTTCTGTGACTCTGCTCTGGAACCTGTGGGGGCTCCTGACTGGCTGTCACCAGGAGCAGCGTGTGCTCTGCTGCTCGGGGCGTGCCGCTCCCTCCTCTGTGCCCCGCTAAGGACGAGGTGAACCGCTAGGGACTGAGGCAAACTGAAGTCACCATGGGTAGGGACCGTCCCCAGGTGACAAGGGAGAAAAGATTGGGTTCAGGGCCCTCCAGCTGCTAGGACCCAGTGGTCACTTTGAGTCTGACTTGAGAGATGACCCCACCCCCCCACCCTGGCCCCCATCCCCCAGGAGTCAGGAGGCTCCTTGCTCTGCCACCAAATTGTTATGTGACTTGAGTCAGGGCCTTTCCTCTCTCTGAGACTCTCTGAGA